TTTTTTTTTTTTTCTTTTTCTGCCAGTTTTCATTCTGTTCATGCCAGAGTTTTTCCAGCGAACAACTGCTGCTGTTGTTGCCCATCTTTCTTCGGAGGTCTAGGAGGTCTAGGACTTGGCACTCTTGGACTTGGAGGATTTGGCTTGGGCGGATTAGGATTGGGAAGTCTTTTAGGACTCGGCGGTTTAACCGGTTTAGGCACTTTGGGCAATGCGATACCGGTTATTAATCAAACCAGCTCCTTGGCAGGGCTGGGACTTGGATTTGGTGGAATTCCATGCACAGTTTGTGTTCCACTAAATACTGGTAAGACAAAAAAGAAGAGCATTTTTTTGTTGTTCTTCTTCTCATTGTTAACTCGTTGACTTAAACAGCTCTACTGCTTACGTTAAACTCTATAAAATCGTCCATGATGGATATTACAAAACCTGTGTATAAGCGAACAAAATTCTTGAGCCGCTAAACGCAGAAAAGATTTCTCTTTACGACAATCTTTCACTGAATACTGTTTAGGGTCCCCATGCTGTTGTTGTTGTTGCCCGTGCAGGAGGTAACACGTTGGTCGTCGACGAAAAATCATCTTTTTTTTTTAAAGTTACTGGTACGTTGCAGTTGACTTGAGATTTGAAGAAAGACTTTTTTTGAGAACTCCTCTTCAAAACATCAAACAAATACTCCATGTAAAAAATTAACATCCCTTCAGTAACTGGACAGTTGCAGAAATAAGGAAAACCAGTAAACGTCGCCACCAGAAATTCTGGTCCGATTCTTAGCGCTTTGCAACTTCACCAAAACAATGGCAAAGAACCTCTGAGAGCCACTCACTCCTCAGCATTATCGATATGAGCACTTGTGCAACCATGTTTGTAATTATCTATGAAAGTATTTATTTTGATTATCACTGCAATATTCAATCACTTTTTCTAATTCATTCAAACAAAGTTCACATACACAATAAAAAAGAATGTGACGTTTGAAATAAAAAGTTTATAAAAATTTCCTATTTACATTTCTCGATAATTATTCTACAGTAAATCAAATACTGATCATCTTAAATAAATTACTAAACTAAGAAAAAAATAAACAGCAAGACAGACAGGCAAATAGACCAGAAAGTCTAACCCAACAATCACAGACAGCAAATGTTTTTATAAATTACAAAAGTAAGTCCCTTATGTCACGTCGCGTAAAATAAATTGAGCATTTGCAGAAGATATACAATGCGTACAAATTTTGCGGAGTCGCGATTGAAACAAATAATTAAAACTTTTGATTTGATAAACGTTCCTTTGAAAAAACAATCAAAAATTGTAGATGAATCTAAACCGCAAATAGTTCCCTTTACAAAAAATATAAAGATGGAGCTTTGAGACCACAAATAAACAAACACGAGCCCCTATCTTACTGAATTTAAACAAAGCGAAATCAAAACCTCATATTTCAAAAGAAAAGTTATTTTAGCTGTTAATAGTGCACATAATGTACATACTCTCAATAAACGATCTTAAACCTAATGTTAGATCTTGTTAGTTGAAAAAACGCAGCAGGCCATCACCAGCAAAAAGTATCTGTTGTGTCACTACTGCAGTGACCCTTGAAAATTCCAACAAAAAGCACCATTTTCGAAAAGGCCCGTATTCTCCAATACCGTTAAAATCGCTGCAGCAGACAATTGATGAATTAGAACGAGCCACAGTCAAATCGAAGTCAAATAAGCTGCAGGAACATAACCAACAGTTCCAGATTTTTTGCGAACTAACCACCACTCCTCATTGTTTGCATCATCAAACTTTTTTAAAACATACACCTATAAACACGATTAGATTATTCAAAAACTATACCTACAAGCAAAATCAGACAGCCAAAATGATGTACGAAATAAGAACTGTATCCCACGAATAAATATATCAAATTGCACTGTATATTAGAAAAGTTTTCATCTTCAGCTAATTTCTAAAAGCACCATCAGCATTAAAACGTACTTCTGGTAGCAAACCCCAGTGAATTATTTTCCCTCTTCCCCAGGTAATCTGCTTCAAAAATTTTCAAAAATTTTCAATTTCTTTTTCTCAATGCTTCTACTTTTTTTTTTGCGACATCTAGAAATTAATTCGGGAGAAAAGCCTTGACATAAAACTGCAAAGGTCTCACAAATAACAAGCTACAACTCAACAACGTTTGATCTGTTTAGAATGTTTGCTTTAAAGTGATTCTATAAGCACCAGCATGTTCTCAAAGAGGATCGCAGAACGACATTATTCCATTTGAGAGGATCGAGCAATCTTCCTAGTTTGCTAATTTCAGAGGTCTTAATTTTCTATAAATTATGAGTAATATAGCTGCTACTGTCGCTAGTTTGGAATGTTTCTTTAGGTGTTCAATCTGATGCTAAAACTCCTCAATACCTCAGTTTCAAAAAACAGCTCTAGTAGCCATAATTCAATGAAATATAAAAACTCTTACAGCTGATGACTTAGGAAGAGTGTTTTACCCACCCTAACTAAAGTAGCACAGCTAAATAGTTTATTCTTAACACATTATAATAGTGATTTTCGACTTAATTCGCACTGAGTATCTTGGAAATACAAAAAATTTTTCAAAACTTTATGACACAGCTAAATAAAGCACAGACTTGCAAAAAAAATTAAAAAGCAATTTAAAAATTTCTTGGCGTTTTCTAATGATTACAAGCTCAAACCGAAATAAACATCTTAAGCTCTTAAAAACCATTACATATCGCGCTACAATAAATCCATTTCATGCCCCTTGTTGCTCTAGGTAAAGAATTATTTTTTGTGGAGAAATTTTTTTGCAGGCACCATAGCAGTCACTAAAATAAAAACAGCATTAAGCAGAGCAAAGAATATCAGATCAGACTGACTGCTAAAGAAAAAAAGCTTCAACCCTCAGAAAAGAGCCAGCAAAACAGAGCCAAGCCCCAGCTTTCAAAAAAAATATGCTAAATGGAATTTTAAAAACAAGGTGAAATTCTTAAATAATATTATTTATAAAAGCAAATGTCAGAATTCATAATACGATTAATTTCCGAAAGCCCAGATGATTAATAATCCCGCAAAAATATTACCGTCTCGCCAGCAGATAACGAGACTTGACAATCCAAAGAACCACTGTAGTCAAATTCTGCCTTCCAAGGCTCAAAAACCTAAAAGAAATAAAAAAAACACTCAAATAAGTTTTAAAAAATTCTTTTGTTTAAAAAGATATCTCATAAAATGTACAACAAAACACACACACACACACACACAAAAAAAAAAAAACGAATTTGAAAATAGTAACTAAGTTCTTTTGGTCACCCCAGTTTCCGACAGTGCTTGAGGGTGGGAGAGGAGCAGCACGAATGGGAGTAATCGCATTCTAAATTAAATTAGTTAAAAAAGCAAACTGCTGCACATCGCTTCACATCCAGTCAGTTTAAAGGTATCAAAAATCCCTATTATGATTGACAGCTGTTTCAGTATTCAATTGATAATAAAGAAGTAGTTGTTGCTATTATTCTCCTGATGTACGAATACGATGTAAACTAGTACTAATAAATAAAGTCAGAGCTGAAAAATCAACCGAATTCAACGACAAATTTTGACAATTCTTAGGATCCTCCACAGGTGGTTCGTAGTAAACACTCGTTCTACCATTTTCAAGACCATCACAAGACTGCGGAGCTTTACCAAGCGAAGTTAAATTCTAAAATCAAATAATCTATTTGAAACATAACTACGAAAATGACTGTAACCATCTACAACTTGATGGTCTAAATATTCGTAGCTTCAGGCAGTCCTAGCAACAAACAAGTGAAAAAAAATCATTTGGAAAAGGAGAATAAGGGAAACAAATGACAGAAATCTAGTAAAAAGGCTCAAAACATTACCACGGTAGGCATTACAAGGGGCTCATCTTGAGCCGCTACAGATGCTTCAGTCAGTGGCAAAAGCGGCAAAGCAAATTTATCTCTGGACGAGGATCCACCAGTTGTTTCGTACGGGCGGAACGGAATTAAAGGAGCATCCAACGAAGAAAGTATTTGGGATCTATCCTGGAACAAATACCAAGTATCATAAAGAAAAGATGAAATCAACTATTTGGCTCTATAATTTACATTTTCAAGAAAACTGTTTATATAAAAAAAGTTAAAACAAACTATTGAAAAAAATTCCTTTCAAAAATGCTCCCGCCCCACAAAAGTTACAAAAACAAAAGATCCTATTTTAAACTGCCTAAGGAAAATCTGACCAATTCATTTGGAAGAAGGTCATTAAGCAATGCATCGGCAGAAATTGGTAATGAAGTACCAGATGCCAGTGATGAGTTAAAAGTATTTGGCGCAACAACGGGTGAATTCGTGACAGAAGTCGCATGATTGAGCGACAACGGTGCGAATGTTGGCGAAATGCCGTTCTAAAGACCAAAAAGATATACCGGTCAAAAAAATAAATTGCTAAAATCAGTAAATCAAGTTATACCAAAAATAGAAAACAGATTATTTGAAAATTTCGCGCCGTTATCCCCAGCTTTCTAAGCCTTTCTTACGCTCCAATTCGCCTACTTTACCACGTCTCACCCAATTCTATACAATAATTTTTGTTTCAACCTACGTTATAAAGTTTCTAGCAATAAAGCAAGCAAACTAACATAACGCCAATAGTTAAAATTAACAAAGTTAATTTGAAGATTCGAGTTTCTAAACTAAAGCACCACAACAGAGAACAGTACTTGACTTAAGATAAAGGATAACACCTCACTGAAAATTTAAGGAGAACCAGTTCTTTCCTACTTGTAACTAAAAAAAATTATAGTACCTAAAAATCTGATTAGCAATTTTCCTGCCCTAAAGCCTATTAACGAAATAAGCAAAGCACGTCTGTTTTAGACAGAAAAAAAATTATTTTTCACAATAAAACATCCCATGTATAAATCCAGCATCTCGAACTTGATACAGTTACAATAAACAATGTGGTCTATAGCTCAGAGGGTAATTAAGCAACAATGCCAAATGATCTTTTGAACCCAGCAAACTATAGCAGCATTTTGCTATGGAGTAGAAATGTAAAATAAGAGTTGTGATGCTATATTACAAACCTCATTGGCAACAAAAACCGGAGGGTGCACCTGTAAAGGAGTAACGAAATCCAGCAAATTTTCTTCAAGATCTGCAAACAGGAGCAGTATATTATAGTTTATAATTCCACTTGGCAGAAAAATAAGTGTTATCAATGGATTTACAGTTCATATCTGATACGGCAAAACTGCAACCAACTATAAGAGCACCCAAAAAATCCTGTCAAGCTTTACAGCAATTTAAAGTAGAATGTTTCCAAAAATCCTTAATCCTCTAAAACCTGTAACGCAGCTCACAAAGATACGGCTTATTTAACTTCGTTGTAATAACTGCTGCTCAACTTTCAAGTCAGAAAAATAAACTGTATCTCAAACAATTGTCAGTAAATTTAGTTCTTGAAACATCATACTGTATACAGCCTACCATACAGATCTGAACAGAAAAAGGAATAAAAAGTTAAATACCAATTAGATTAGTTTCATCACTATTGATTTTTCCTGAATCAGTAACTGTCCTTTTCGGCAAAACAGGTCTAGGTGGTGGTAATGATGACAGCTAAAACAATGAAGCAGCGTATGAAGAATTAAATTAAAATTTTTTTTTAAAAAATGACGTACAATAGGTTCGTTACTGGGGACTGTTGAGTTGGTTACCGAAGGCTCAGGCTCTGCCGGTGATATTTTATTCGTACTGTCAACCCTACTGTTTCTGTTACACACGGTTACGCTACCTACACAATCAAAAAACGATATCATAACGATAAGGTTAATAAAACCGATAATAAGTAGATAGAGCAAGTTTTAGAAACTGGTAAAACTTCATACCTTGACGAGTGGGAGTCTTAAGAAACGAGACATCTGCACTTATCGCTTTACCAATAGAGAGAAAAGAATGTAAACGAAGTTCACTTGATCCAATGAAAGTTGAAAATGG